AARAAMAACGCATAAAAAACATATAGGTAATAAATAACAAACTTAATATTATAATATTGATAACGGATCGCCGCCGGAAGTAATAGATATCGCAGTAATGTTAACTGAGTATAAAAATTTGATATGACGTTGAAAAGTGAAAATCTCTGACATCTAYTAATGAAATATTATTAAGGTGAAAATGAAGATGTTTATTATTTTCATTTTTGAATTTCGTCTAAGAAATTTATCAAATTACTGTTTTGTATTGAAAATGTCATAATTTATTTTTTTATTTTTTTRAGGGGTAGGGCGCACTTGACACCTAAAATGTTGAGGTCCTGCAATGTATAAGTTTGAAAGATTSTATAGACCGTCAAACGATGGTAAATTGTTTAATGTTTTTCTGTTCATATATAACAACATTATATAACATCCGCACTTATATATATATAGCGGTATTAAAGACGTGTGSCCTCCTCGTTTAATGATTATCGATAAACGAATGTATTTTTTACTATACATTATTATGAACTAAGGTTTCACTACTTACGTTTATAGTTTTGTGTTAGTCATGGCGTCTAACTATTAGCACTATTAGCAGTATTGATTTTTCTAGATTTTATTTTTGCATAAACAATAAGTATTGGTGTAGAAATGTAACGCTGTAGCTGCATATACGCATCGGACATCCTAAATATTTAATCAACTTAGCAGGGGATCAAGAATTTAAAATGAAATCAAAGAAAAACATTTTTGAATATGAGCTATACGGTCAACAATCATAAATGATTGAAATGCAGAATATGCGTACAGCAGATCTGTAGGTCGAGAAATACAATGAATATTCCTAAAATATGTACAAAACACTAGGTACTTATACTAAATGATATAGATATAGGTATAATTTAAATATAGTGTGAAACATGTGTTGTTGAACATGAACTAATCGGTGAGAAAATAAATTCTAGGGCTGGTCAATACTTCGCCMTCGTCGAATAAAACTTGAAATGACGACGATGAATTATGATAATTAAAACAATATTTAAATCGCTCCCCCATAGTTAAATTTAATCAGACTGTCTTATATCAATCATGGCTATTGCCAAACACCAGCAAACTGAAAACGCGTGATCTAATAAATTTAAAGAGTCGTTGATTTTAACCCCGAATAATAACTACAAAATAATTGGGGCATTGGGCATACAGTAATATTAATTCTATAGTTTAGGACTCGATGCCAATATTTTGTTACAAAAAATTTTTTATCATAGGTACACGACTATTATATTTTAATGTAATAACTAATACGATTAAGTATAATATATTATATAATCCGCGCGTATATTGTGATTTAAAAATAGTTTGTCTGAAATTGAAACAGGACCGTTTCGAGTCGAACTTTTATCCGATCGGTAAAAATATGGATAGGGGAAGAGGAGAGGGGTGTAGTTCATAATATAGACACATAGGTCATAGGGTGTCGCCGTTAATACATGTCATCGCCTCGTTTACGTATACGATAAGTAAATCGTATAATAATATATTCAAGTGGGTCGTATCGTACACAAGTGGTTATCTCATAAAGTCATAACATTTACCTGATATTTCTTGATGCTCTCCAACTGCTCCTTAGTGGGCTCAGTGGACGATATGGTAACGATCGTGTTGTTGTTGATGCTGGCCTGCTGAAGCTGCTGTTTGATCACGTCGGACCGGGGCGGTGGAGGCGGCGGAGCCACATGTCTCTCTGGTACCGCAGAACCGTTCTAAAAATATGAGTATAGTACAATAATATATAATAAWAATTTTACATGTTTCGTGAATTAAATTTGTCATAAATGTGTACATATATATAGAACATAATATTATATAACATAAGACTATTAGAGGGGAAAAGTTACTTACATCGAGCAAAAATGACAGAAAATAAAATGAAAACGCCGGAGAGTCGAGAAAGTGAATTCGGTTGAATACTCTGAATGCATTAATGCATTATATTATATTATTATATGAACATTAGTCATTGCAGTAACCTATGGGGTTTGACCTGTAGGAATCGATCTGGAGAAAGGCATGACTTACGAGATACTTTGTGGCGTCGTTGGTACAATAAACCATAATATACGTCTTGCATCAAACCTATTATACGGTTGTCTAAATAATTATTAATAATAAGCTAATAAAACGAGCAAATGAAAATCCGAAATTTTTTCACTCGATGATATCAACATTATTAACTGATCCAATTCGAAATACGATATTGGAACGATTAAGACAACGAACTTATCATACCGTTTCCAAGAATTCGCTTACACAATTAATACAGCAGTTTTTATATGCATATATTTATCGTTATATCGTTGTATGTTACTGAATTAATTTGATGTAACTTTATAATATTAATGTTCATTACGTGATACTCGAGTAAAATAAAATTAACAACAATTTTATTGTACTGAGTTTCTTGTTTTTACACAAATAAAAACAATATATAATAAACATMAAATGTCTACAAATTTTATTTGAGAATATAATACTGAATCATTTATGTGATATCTTCGAATAATGTATAGCTAGTAAAATACAGACACAATTTAAACAGATAGAATTAAAATAACCACTAAAATAAAAATACTATCAAGATGGAAATGTTTTATGTTCATGATCATTAAAATAACTTGTTAAGTATCTTTTAACATTTTTTTCAGTTCCTAAATACTTGCCTCAAATTTGAAAAATTAATACTATAAAATATTTAATATGTACCTATAAACAATATATAATAATATTATGTAAGTGGGCCGTGGGGACAAGTTAAGATACAGAATTCGTACGCAACTGAGTGTAGACATTTGGCCACACCAAACCACAATTTATGTATTTTATTAATGAATAGTAACAAATCTTGATTTAAATAATTACAAAAATTAATCTCATGTACCTACTCATATAATGATAGACTATAAATATAATATATGATCGAACTGATTGCATTTATTAAATATTTAAAAATTTAAAAAAAACTCTTTCCACAAAAAGAAATGTTCTAGAACGTGATCAACATACCATAATGAGCTATATAACAACTTGAAATCACATACTTTGCATTTTTTTAATTACAGAAATATGGCTTAACAAATGAAAAAAATATTTTATACCTACCACATAATAACTTAAGAATATTCATTTATTTTCGAGTACTTAATGAAAAAATTAATTTACACAAATATCGATTTAAAACATAATAATATATTATATTCACCTGTACACTCGAATTTAATAGCACAGATAAACATCAATAATTATTAAATTAAGTGGGTAATTGAAACACCTAAATCTACTAAGCAATTTAATACGCCAATACTGCAAAATGGTTGACTAAAATGTACCTATACCAAGTATTTCAAAACATGTTTACCTAGTAGTAACATTGTCCTCAAAATCAAATATACGTACTTTATAAATTTATCAGTGTAATGTAACAGTAATGAAAAAATTAATTATGATATATTTATTTTAAAACAATCAAATAATGTTGTATAAGAGAATAGTTTAAGATATTGCGTAAAAATAATAAATTGAAATATTTTTACATTAATCTGCCGCAATAAACTAAATACAGGAGGTAAATCGATACACTATTTCAATTTGTTTATTAAGCTTTTATATAGGTATTGTTTGAATGTCTAAAATAGAAAAATAAATTATTAAGTAAAGATAATAACTTACTATAATAAGTGTATTTCTTTAAATATAATGCAGTTCGTAAACGCATCTCGTTAGTGCTACTGTATAAGTAAGCGTTGTTTGAATATTTTAAATTATTTTAAACAATACAATGTAATAATTTAATATTTAAAATACATTTAATAAGAATAAAAGGTGTGAGATTTAAACATGTCTCATTATATTTTACTTACTATTTCATTGAATTAAAAAGACAGTATTTAAATTTACATTAATTTTCCATAAAATATACGTCACACCTATTTGCACTGTCAGTGTAGGTAGTGARCGCATTAGGAAAAATACTAGCTTAATGCGTTTATTACAGTGAAGAATATTGCGTACTGAGAACTAAGTGAAATAAATTGTGATTATTAGCTTCAAATTTTTTAATTGTATTAATATCATATAATAACAGTAAAGATTTAGCTAAATAACTAGCAATAATAATATGTTTAAGTTCAATCATTATTAATTATCGTTCCAGTATGCCATAAAATAACAATAACTTTCAAATGTGAAACTATTTTGGAGACTTGGGAATTATTTGAGCGGTCTAAGACCGAACCTAACCAATCACCACCTCCAAGCTGATGAATTTCATTTTAGACCGAAATCTAGCGTGTGAMCAGCCAGCTGCTACTATTACAGCGTGAAAATGTGACTTTCGTCCTGACGCCTAGGCCAACTGTACAATATTAACTGTAGCGAACGGATAATAAAAACAATTTCGAATAATAATAATTATTAGAGATATAGGTAGTAGTTAGAAATATATCGTAGGTATCTGATTAATATGTCTATATGTAGGTACCCTGACTAAGGCAAGGAATTGCGCTGTCTCCCACACTTTTCAATTTAGCATTATAAAGAGTAAAAATAAAAGAGAAACGCAAAAAACAACAAGAAAATGGTCGTGATCAGAAACAATATTTTGTTAGCTTACGCGGATTACATCGTCATCCTTGGATAATGCAAAACAGATCTAACAGCAAACACGCTTAAACTGTTAAACACTATATAATGTAAAAAAAATGGTACTTAAAATTAACGAGAATAAAACAAAATACATGGTTATTACGAAAAAGCATACAATTATAGGTATTATATGCAAAACCTCATAGTCGGACTTGTTTGAAAAAATTTAAGATTTCAAATATTTTGGTGGTCAATATAAACCCAAAGAAGTAATATGCATAACGAAATAATACTGATAATTTCTTCAGGAAATGGAAGGGTATCATACAATAACAAGTAAATTTACATCAAAAGAAACCAAAACGAAGCTTTTTATAACCTATCTGAGTTGTATTGTTATATGTATACCTACGAAACCTGGGTAACAATTAAAGGCATTGAATCAAAACTCMTAATATTTGAAAGAAAATTGTTAAAAATAATTATTGGTCCTATATCCGCGGCACGCGTGCCAAAAGTGGCACGTTTATAAAATTTCAATGATACACAAATAATTAAAATTGTAAAAAATTATGATATTCGTAAGACTTTGATTCTAAAAATTTCAAAGAAACAAACTATAAACATTTTAAAAATTATAATATTTCTATGTAAATTTGATTATGTTACTATATTTATTATGTTCTATTTAGTGTTAACAATCTTCGGGCACGTGAAAAATTGTCAAACTTTTGATTGCAAAAATAGGGCACTAGACCTAAAAAAGGTTCGTCACCCCTGTCCTATACACTAAAACCAGTAAGTTATAAGAGAAGGAAACATGAAGAGATTAAAAACATTTTCAATAAATTAATCATTTAAGTGTCTGAAAGCTAAAAGCTAAAAGACTAGAGTGAACAGATCACATATTATGGCAAATAAAGCATAACATTTAAATCAAAAAACCACAGCGAAAAAAGTCTAAGAGGTAGACGCTGGGAGTCTACCTCCAGYGTTGGTTTAATAGATTAAAAAAGATCTGGGAAGCTTAGAAATTGAAGATACTCATGATCGGGAAAGTTGGAGAAATCTAGTGTTGGAAGTGGCTAAAAGCCTAAATGGTTGGTCAGACAATAATAAATAAATATGCTAACCTGTTGTGTACCGGGTGTGCGGTTCGCCCTGGACGGAGGTGGGTACCTCGGTGGTGTCTTGTTGCGGGCGATAAACGAATCCGGAACGTCGACGGCCCTCTCGCGATGTGGCCCGTTGTCCAACGCGCTCATCATAATCATCATGTCGTCCAGCGTCTCGCCTGTCACGTCGTCGACAGCTCGCTTTTTTTCCAGCGTACCGACTTCGCTACCCACACGAACCAACCCCCCGCCACTTCTACGACGAGACCTGCGAACCAAAAACGCACAATTTAGAAGAATAATATTAATTATATATTATATTATTATAATATTTACTAGACAATGGTGGGCTAAACGGTAAAATGAGAAAAATTAGYTTGAGTTCAGTTCGCTAAGTTATAACAATATACGATTTTTATTCCTCCTCACTAGATTYGATTGTTAAGAAAATCACACGTTTGTGTCAACTAAATAATTGTAACATCAAAAAGAGATCGGATATAGGAATCACCACATATGAGAATATTTTATTTGTTTATTTATATTTAAAGTCATTGAATATATATTGTGAATTAACAAAATATATATCAATTAGTTTAAACTATAAAGTTAATTATGGGTCACTTGTATAGTTATGTATAACAATATATTCAGATATTTTTACARATTTATTGTTTTTCCGAGTAGGTAACTGAAAAAAGCTCAAATGTTTCAAAAGATTCTTTAAACAGTTAAGCTATTAGGTTAATTAGGAAATTTGCTAAATAAGTAGTTAACTGGTAAGTTAAGAAGTTAAAAAAAATACATTTTTAATTATAAATTCATACTTTGATATATGTATAACACAGTTGAAATTTTCCTACTTGACCTACTGCATTCATTCCCTAACCAAAATGCGATGTTTTAAATGATATTAAGTGACATTATAGTTTATACATATGTATTGTAGCATAATTTTTTTTTTATTTGTTCTCCTCCATAGTAGGTGCATTTATTGGCATGTACCTACTGTGATGAAGCGATAGCTAGGGGCATTTTCCCACAACGGAACGATTTTGTACCTATATTTATTGACTTTACGTTAACGTATACATATATTATTATATAATATGCATAATTTTTTCAATTCAAATATTATTATATTCTGATGATCAGGTAAAGCTATTAATTGGCAATTTATAATAATTATTTAAGTACCTGCATACGCTCACGCTGCATGATGTATACCTACCTAATAATAAAATTTGAAAGCATTTTATTAGTGTCCGTTTAGTTAGAAATAATGAGTAAAAACAAACACATTTTTTGGATTTTTATTTTCTCTTGCTTATATTCATTGTGCCCTGCAAAAATTGTACTCAGGTACGCCACAACGTAGGAACGTATGAAATATGTCAACATGGTAAAAACGATAGMTGCAGTCTAACGTCAATATGCAAAACTAAATATTATAGGAACTTAATGAGAAAATGTTGGAATTTGAACGAATCCGATAAAAACGAAATTCATCGTCGAGAAAATAATAAAACCCTAATTATGATTACGAGGTCGGAGATAATTCGCAGTCTGCCGACAACTGCCACACAGCTAAGTGCTTACCGGTAGGGGCCTCGAACGTTAGCGGTTGCAGACTATAAAAATATTATTTTCTCTCATTAGTAAGGATAATTCAATAAAATATTATTATAGCTTGTGAAATTTTTGGTTTTTCTATCATTCACCGCCTTAAATTTATTTTACTTTACATGAAATAATCACTGTTTTAATGAATTTTCTTTTAAAAATTGTTAATATTAAATATTAGCTTCTTATTACAATATTCCACGTTTACAGTTATAGAACGTTAGATGATATCACAGCAGTTGATCATGTGCAAGAGGTGTGTGCATAAAAATGCAACCTTCACAAACATCAACTTTTTCAAAATGCGACGAATARGTACATGATGCGGAATATTTTCGTACGTTCTAATATTATATTATTAAACTTAATAGTTAATAGGTACTTAATAGTATTACAAGAAGTCGCATTTATAATGAGTGAAATGAAACATTATTATAACCTAATTATTGTACTGCGGTGTATACACAGTTACTAACGGAAACGTTTTATTATAATATTATAAGACTTTAGACTACCCATTTATATAATGCGAGAATATTGTGAGAAAAACAGAAATTAAGCAAATAGTCTCGGGATAAAATGGTATACGGTAAAACTTATTCTTTAAGATACATTAAAATATTAAAGTATAATGTATAATTTACAACATATTTGGACATAATAATATTTTGATGTGTTACTGCTGTAATAATATACGCATTATTAACAGACCTGTCCATCTCTGCGGAAGAGTCGTTGGCAATTTTGGTTGCCTACACATCCGCTGTTCTGGGCGCATGACAAACCAATTATTGTTTTAGACAAGGTAATCGTGAACAAAAAAAAAAATACATTTTTCCTTGAACTCGGTAAAAAAATAATTGGGCGTGTCGGTAAATTTGAAAAATAATAATAAACAACGACAGTTTATATACGGACACAACAAGCGCAACATGACCAGTGCAACTATACAACCGACCGACTRCATTATAATATTTAGCTACGAAATTTTGAGATTTTATCGTTTTAGTTACGCTAATGCATGTGCCTGTATGCGACGAAAGTATAATAGAATAATAATAACATCAACAACAACGATAAATGTTCAATGGTTTAGCAACGAAGCAAAAAGGCGCTATAATATGTCGCTTAAATCCATCCTGCAGAAACCATACATGGAATCGAACGAAAAATATCAATCAATCACTGTATAATATAAGCCAATAGAAGAATAAATAAACCACATCGCGACCATTCAAAACACCGTTCGATATAATTAATAATTGTTAATAATYAAAACATATAATAGGTACCTAATAAAAAGTGTGTTACATAAAAAATTGTATAAAACTGTAATAAAGTAATGTATAATAATATTTCAAACATTGTTGATATAGATTTAAACGCATCAGACATATTTTGAACATAAATACGCAGTACGAGTTCACGATTTTATTACTAAACCTGTATGAAATCTACTAAACTTCAGGAAAGTAGCAAAATATTCAAAACGTTGGAAAGCTCATGTTTCAGAATTTTATAACAATAATTATTAAAAAAATATTTCTATAAATAAGTTAAATAATTTCTCGTTGCTAAAAAATAATAATAATAACAACAATTACAACTATACCTATAGTCACATTAATGTAGCATTAATAAAATACGCATAAGCTGCATTGGAAACAAATCCATACTGTAAAGYGATTAAGAATTGCTTAGTACGGATAATATTAAACCATTAGGTTATAGGTAGAACATTCGTTGAATTTTTACATGATTTTAGTTTATTGTGTTCACTGCAGATACAGAATAGTATGAACTTTTGTTCCTAAGGAGCATTAGGGAGCCAAATTTGACCAGAACAATAAATTAACACAAATCAAGGGGTAACGGTTGTTTATGGATAGTTAATCTGATTACATACATACCTAAATTTGCTACTATCGTTTCAGACACTTTACTGCGGTATTTTTTTTAGTGATGATTATGGAGAACACGATTTGCACAGAAATGCATGCAGTTTCTCAATAATTTAACATGCGTATAACCATACTGCATACAAAACATTCGATGTGTACTAAATATCTAACTATAAAAATATTACACAATAAAATTAAGATATTGCTTGYCGGTGTATTTCAACTTAATATTAATTACACGTCTTGAAATCTGACATTGAAATGAATTTTAAATTTACATGTAAATATGAACAAATGTATAATATATTTATTATATTTTTAATATCTAATTTTCAGCGGTAGTCTCGCCCTTTGCGAATAAGTATATATAATGATACGTAATATATTAAACCCATCAGTGGTGTATTACCTAGGGTCCAAGTGTTGCTCAAGCTACACCTTAAATATCGGTGGGTGGGTGGGTATTGCTAGAAGGACAATATTATTATTTTATTTATTTATATATATTTTTTTCAAAACCGATGCAMAACTAGTGCAAAAATGTAATTTACTAAATTAAATTAGTACCTACATTAAATAATAAGAATACAATTTAGCGACATTTTATCGGTAGGTACTAGGTATAACAAAAGTATATGGGGTAGGTCACCTAAAATTATTTGAGCAACACCAATTTTTTTTTTGATACTCGCCTCTGAAACCAATTGTTACGTGACCATACCATTATGGTTTATGGCTACTTAAAACCAGACTTCTTACCCAAACATATAGAAACTAAAAGTCATAATTAAGAAGTCCAACAGCCTCGAGTATTACTTAGTGCAATCGGGATCATGCTTACGGGACTTCACTYATCAGCCTTTAACTTTAACGAAAATAATAATAAGTATTATCAATAACTACAACAATACGCATGTATGACTAGTGATAAATTAGATTACTTTCGTAATAGTTATTAAACTCGATAACCTTATAGGTACAATAGTTACGCAATAAACTTGTTAAGCATAGGTACATAAGATTAAGAATCAAATGACAAATTATCATATACTCGATACATACATTTTAGGGTGAATATTTGATACTATTTAATATACGTAATTTGTTTTAGTAGGTATCCAATGTTATTATGATAACTTTACTAACAATCTTGAGATACCTATAAACTCGTATMACGATTTTATGAATCAATGAAATCACTACTTGTTAATATTTATTTGTTTTTTGCGAATAATAAACCGATTTTTAAAAAATTCAAAAATTATATCGCCACACCAAAACGTCAAATGTGTTGCTTTAAATATACATTTTCCGGTACTTTGACCCCTTCTTTGTAATTTGCAAGACAATATATGACCGATTTTTGTTGTTGAAGAAGCGAAACAAATTACAGTTTCTACATGCAAAAATGTTCTTTTGTCTGTTTGCGCGTATGATTAGATTATATATAGCTATACGGCTACATGTATACGCACTGAGGAGGCTTATAAAAAGACAGCGAACACGTTAGACTGCGTTAACGGTCYGTACTCTTATGCGATGCTGTGCCATCAAAAAATAATCGTCAAAAACGTATCAGTAATATATATTAAATAATAATAATAYACCTARTACATAACAATAAAATACCGTATTTCCAATAAATTATTTATATAGAGATATTTTTTAAAACGTTATATCATATTCGAACAAAAATGGAATAGGAACCTCTACACATATGCACCTATCTAGTTTCATAATAATA